GATCGATTTCAAATTGTGAAGACCATTTCCCCCCTCCAAAAAATATCTCTATATATGCATTTGTGAACTGTTATTTATGATATTTGTAATAATTTTTGTTTAATCACTTTATTTCAACTATTTTTTGCTAATTATGTATTCGCTCGAACTTTGTTAAAACCTTAAGTGTATCCCGAACAATAACCGAAGTTGTAGGAGGAAATTTGCCTATTTTACCGATCTAGGGATCCCCTTTTCCAAATTTTAATATCGACTCAAAATAATTTAAAAAGACAAATTACAATAAAATGGTTTATTATCCAACTATCAGAAATTTCACAACGCGCCAAGGAAGAGAAGGAGCAATTAAATAATTAAAATTGTAAAGGATTAAAAAAATATATATAAAAATAGGGAATATCGCAATTCTGACAATCGCTGCAAGTGTGTGGGCTAGAATTGGAGAATCCATGCTTCTCACATGGACAACTACTGTATGTGGCTGGCTCACGTGTCGGAAAACCTTCCGATTTATTCATGTATGCACCAGATGGAAAAACAAAAAATATCGTGTATCCATGAGCACTCCAATAAATAAATAGAATTGAAACGATACTTTGAAATGTTTTCCCAATGAAAATGAATAATAATAATAATAATAATAAGTTTCAATAAAAATGATAAAATGTAAATTGAATTTTATTATAATGAGTTTGCTTGAATTTTGTTTCTTCTGAGATCGCAGCAATGCACGACGGGTAAGCTAGTATAATTATATAATTAACAACTTATTACTTTTATGTTTCTTTGATTTTTATTTCTGTTGTGCATTTTTACATCAATATAATAGCATTAAACATGCATATTTCATTTGACAATTAACAATAGCAATCAAAGCATAGTAACTTGAAATAATTTCCTAAGCTAATATATAATAATAGCATGGTAATTATCTGAGAAAAGCATACTATGCTTCTGACCTGTAAATTTGCTACAATTCTATTATTGATTAAATTTCTTTGTTTTTTTACATTAAGCAAGTAAATGAAAAATTACTTTCCAATTAATAAGATTAATTTTTTCTCAAGTCAGAAATTGAAACACAGAAAAATAAAATACAGTGATACCTCGGTTTTCATCGATAATCCATCCAAAAACAATCAACGAAATCCGAGGCAATTATTTCCATATGAATCAATGTAAATCCAATTAATTTGTTATAGACACTTCAAAATACAACCAAAAACGTATTTAATAGCATAAATATTGTGCTTAATACTAAAAACAATAAGTAATTAATATAAAAGACTAAGGTAAAAAATAAATGAATATTAACATAGCATTCGAAGGGCTGCTGGCTCTGGAAACTTTCTTTGGTTCCATGATGGAGCTAAAATGAAAGGAAAGCAATGGTTGATATCAGAACTCAGCAAGCCCACTGACGATAGGGAGAGAAATCCTCCTCCGCGAAAAAGAATGCTCAGGTGCAGGTGAGGTCTAAGATCACACAAAAAGTACAGATAGAGTCTCTTCAAGAAATTATCAAAAAACATCTGATCCCCGATTATTCCAATTTATCATTGTTTTGCTAGACACACTAGGTAATGATCACACAATGAGAAACTTTGCTACACTAAACAGGAAAATGCGTGGGTCGCCCTATGTTTTCGCAAAATTAGGAGGAGGTCACATAGACATGCTGACAAAATCCGGGGTATGCCAACGAAAACCGAGACAAATTTTCCACAAAAAAAAAAAAAATCAAAGAAAACTGAAACCGAAAATAACTGAAGTATTCTAAACATTTAATCCTAACAATTACACATAAGTCAATAATACATTTGGTTTTATTTTTGTTGTATCATTAGTCATTTCTTTTTATGTGACACAATGCTCCATGCCTTTTATTTCCATATGGAAACAGAAATAAAGATGAGAAATAAAAGGCATGCACTGTTGTGATGGAGCACTGTTTCACACAAAAGGAAATGTTAGTAACACATGATCAAAACACCAAAATTTATTAAAACATCTTTTATATACCTAACAATTGACATCATTTCAACGTAACAGAATAAAGATTTTGTTCAGTGTTATTTAGACTGAGAAAAGCTTAACTTTAAGATTAAAAGCCTGTGTAAAAAACATGAAAACAATTTTTGCTGAAAGTTGGCACTAGTGTTCATGTGAATTTATAGTGCCATTTGTCAACCAGTTTATTTACAACTGTTGGTTTCATCATTAAACGTGAAGTGTGCTTTGCAATTTTTAAAATAGACAAAAATATCAAACAAAGAATTTATCTAAAACTTTGTGTTACCAATGAAATTTCTTGTGCTGAGTTATTGAAAATGTTACAGAAGGCCTATGGTGAATCAGCTTTATCCAAAACACATTCGTACAAGTGGTACAAAGTGTTTAAAAAAGGCCAAAAAGTAATGGAAGACTTGCCTCGTTCTGGTTGACCTTCAACATCTTCAACTGACAAAAATATTGACAAAGTGAAGTAAATGGTAATGGAAAATCATCATTCAAACTTGAGAGAGATGGCTCATAATCTAAACATGTCTCATGAATCTATTCACACCAATTTAGTTGATGTTTTAGGTATGAGACGTGTTGCAGCATGACTTGTTCTGCAGGAGCTGAATTTTCTTCAAAAAGAGTACCAGAAAAAGGTTGCTGAAGAGATGTTTGAATGAGCCAATTCAGACCTACATTCACAAAAGACATCACAACAGGTGACAAGACATGGGTTTATGTGTTTGACTTGCAATCCAGCCAACTAGCTTCAGAATGGTGCTTTGAGAATGAGTTTAAACCAAAAAAAAAACCAAGTCAATGTCACTCAAAAATCAAAGTCATGTCAACTGTTTCTTTGAATGTTGTGTTGTCGTCTTGTTTGTTTGTTTTATTAAGTTATGGCAATGTAATACTTGGGCGGTCTACCTAGAGGGATGATAGGGTAGGACTTTTTAAGGGTAACTGGCCCCTATTTAGGCGTTACAAATGTGGAGAAAACCCGGAAAACTCTGTGGCCAGGCCGTCCAAGCATGATGTGAACCCATGACCAAACTCTCAGTGTTCAGGGACAAAAACCACTTGGTCACTAGCGGGCTGTGATGTTGTCCATTCGGAATTTATTCCAGAGATAAACAGTCACAATACAGTATTATATGGGTGTTATGAGGCATTTGAGAGAGAATGTTTGCTGGAAAAGGCCAGATTAGTGGAAGAGCCAATTCTTGGATGTTGCACCATGATAATGCACTGTCTCACATATAAAACCTTATATGTAAATTTTTAACCAAAAATGCAATAAATGCCATGTCATCAACTAAGCACCTTATTCTCCAGATATGGCCCCATGTGACTTTTTCCTCTTCCCCTAACTTGAATTACCACTTTGTGGAAAATGTTTTGAGTTTATTGAAGAAATAAAAGAAAATTAACACAGAGAACTGCAGGCCATACCAGAAAGTGCTTATAAGAAGTGTTTTGATGACTGGAGTGTTCGTTGGCAGATGTGTTTTGCATCAAATGGGACCTGTTTTGGAGGTGACAAAATAAATTTAGATGGTGAAAGCCAACATTTTGTATTTTATTTAACAATTTCTGGTAATTATTTGGCAATGTATTTTTAATTATGTTGAGAAATTAAAAAACAAACAGTTATCAATGGGGTACAATTAGCATACTAACCATTCAATGCATTTTAGTGTGTCCAATAATGTCCAAGGTGGCTTTACAATCACAATCCGGGACCTAAATTATATTAAAAAAAAGTTAACATCAGAAAAACATAGAAATGATAAAAAATAATATATATACTATATACTTCAAAATGTAAGGGTCAACACACTAACTGGTCACTATCAGCAGTGAAATTTATACAGAATGAATGTTTACTTTCAAATTCAGGCCTGGGAGTGCCATTTCCCCTCTGAAAAAGTGAGAAAAGTGAGTTGAAATACAGAAAAAGTGAATAAAAAGTGAGTGCAATAGTGACAAAACAAAGTGAAAAAACGGAAGGAAAACTCAGCAAAATAGCAGTAAAAGTTATTTTCTTTTTATTGTGTTATGGTTAAACACATTTTTAAAATTTCTGTATATACTGTAATACAGTCGTTATATCGCGCATTTTTGGTCCCCCGAATTTTAAAAGCATTTGAGTCAATAACTTTTAAATTACCAATTGTCACTGAATTTCTATTTGCAACGAAATACGGTATTTTATTTCCACTATTGTCCTTGAAACTACCACTGAAGGTGAAACAATAAATTCGCCAAGATCTACATATGCAGAACAAGTGGATGGATCGATTATCATTTGTTTCCTTTTAATAAAAAAGTTGTTTATTTATTAGTTTTAAGTACTGTCTCCTCATTTACAAGTTTCTGTAAATTCGAAATTTCACATCTTTATGTGAATTAACGGTATTGCTTCAATTCACACAGAGGTGTGAAATTTCGAATTCACAGCATAATGTGTAAGGAAAAGATTTCTTAATTCTGAAAGGAAAGTTCTAAAATTTTTATACAGTAGTAACTTTATTTTACTTTTTAATTAAAGAATTTTTACTCTCTAATTTTATAAGTTTTGATGTTCTATTATACATTCAATATTTTTTTTAAATTTTCAATTACAGCATTTATAATTTTTATTGAAAAATATAAACTACACGAATTTCTAATAAGCGATTTATATAGTACTGTATAATAAAATCGCAATTGATTTGTTTTTATATCGACAGTATTTGTCTTTCAATGTCATTGTTAAAGAAACAATAATGCTAAATGGGCGTTCATGGTATCGATGTTTACGTAAACGTCAATTAATACGATATAACCACGAATAAAATTCAGGATTGAAAAACTAAGCTTATTTTATATCAGAAACACTTAATGATGAAAGAATAGAGATTCCATAACATGTATAATCTGTCTAGTAAAAGCCCAGAATTTTTATTACTCGGTTATATCGCGTTTTTTTTCTGTCTCCTGATAACAAGTGGCTACTGTATTTCCAGTAAACCGTGAATACTTAAAAACTCTTTGGCTTCTGTAAATAATCAGTCATGAAAGATGATGTTATTTTATTAAGATTATTCTGGATGTTTTCAGATTCCTTCTTTTTCGCTTCCTCTTGCTTTTGAACACTTAACACTAATAAGCATCACACGTGCTGCTCGTACTACATTCATGTTTTTGCTGTTAATAGCCTTTCTCCAGTTTTTTTTGTTTGCTGCTTCTAACAAAACTTGGCCTGTCGCATGTATTTCTTTTTCTTCTACATTTTTCTGGTTTAAACTCAGCTGCAGTTCTATAATCTTCATGTTACGAACAGTTTTCTTTTGTTGTTCTTCAAAATGTTTCTGTGCTCTTTTTTTCTGTTTCTCTTATTCTTTTAACTTCTTTTCATTTTCCAATTGTTCTTGATAATTTCTATGCGCTGAGGGAGCTAATTTCAGTAGTCCTTTGTAATGGGTACAAGATGGGGCTTTGGTCATACATGTTTAGTCCCTCCTTAACAATCAAAAGTGAATTAAGTATTTTTTCCAATACTGATGGAGAAAGTGCCCAGAGTGAAATTGACCCTCTCTCTCGTGGGAATGCTGATTTCGCTATTTTGGCTATACTGGAATATTTATCATTATCAGAAACTGTTTATTTTTTAATCCTTTGAGATGTGTAAATATTGATTTCAAAATAAAATAATAAATCTGAAATAAATATATTTCAAATAATATAAGTAAAATAATATTTTATTAATGATTTCATAAATAACAATAAACTTTTTCCTACAAATGAATAAAAATAACATCGTTACATCGTTGTTAACCTTTTGGAAAGCATGTGAAAATACTTCTCACAAGCAATCATGTGTTGTACTTTTTACAACACTTTGAATCTTTTAATTTATTTGGTAAATTTTATATGTAAATATGAATTTATATTTTTGTTTACTTTTTTAGTCTCTCAATTAATGCACAATTATAATCAGCATAAGAGAAAAGATTAAAAAATGGATATTTCACAAGTTATTTTCATAACTTGTGAAATGGATATCACACATTTTATGAAAATAACACTTACTACATGGAATAATTATACTTGTAGTCAATTTAAACATACATTTAGAAAGATATAGATGTGATTTAATGTTAACAATATGCTATAAAATCATTATTTAACTCAAGTTTATGAAATTATTTAAAGATAAATCAAGTAAAAAAATATTTTGTAAACGACAACTACATAACCCGATTGTTAATTAAAATCAAATAATCTGCCAAATTATTGGGCTATAACAAGGATAACTACATGATCAGAAATGAAATAATTTATCTACTGGTAAAAGGTTATGCTATTATCTCGTGTTAATTTTAATAATTATATATTTTGAATTTACAAGCAGTAGCAGCGTTGTCAGCTTGAGAGGGTAATCCCTATGCTTAGTGTGTTTTCCCCTGCAAAAGGATTTTAGTGATTTTCTTAGAAAACAGCCAAAACCGCAGGGATGCTTAGAATACTCATTTTTAAACTCCATACAAGGAAATGTAATTCGGAAGAAGTAGATTTTGGCAAATAATGAAAATATAGCATGAGTACATAACTTTACTCAACACTGGCTTCTGAATTTGTAATGACAGGGATTTTTTTTAATTCATAAAGGATATTTTTACATACGTGAAATAAATTTTTGTTTTCTATAATCTAACAACACTGAGTGGCAGTTGCAATTTTGAGTCCTGCTCAGGGCTGCGTATTTTCTTCCAGAAAATTCTATTCCGATAGTCCGATAATTTGGCAGATAGTTTGGCTTTAAAATTATTTTTGATTTGTCCCACATCTTAATTAAGCATGTGAAAATGACCAAAAAAGTGAGAAAAGTGAGAAAATGACCTGAAAAGTGAGAAAAGTGAAGATACTTCAGAAAAGTGAGTACAAGTGAGAAAAGTGAGTGACTCTGAGGCCTGCAAATTAAAATACATATAGAAAAACAAATTTGATTGGCCAACAACTCAATAAGTTGAAAAGTAACAGATGTATTTCTTATATTTTTAAATTTTCAAAATATAAAATAATAATAATAATAATAATAAAATTTTAAAGCACTAAGATTTGATTGGTCAATTTACATTTACGAATAAGATCATTAAAATTTTGAATTTTATGTTATGCAATCAAAAGGAAAAATTCTAAATAGCACTAATTTTCAATTTCATGATATCAAAATCCATCTCCCCACAATAGCAAAAGAAAGCATATAAAATTAAACAAGAAATGAAGTCTCCAAATCTTAAATTTTCAGTTAGTGAAATATAACCTCAAAATTACTATGATAGAAACAAAAAAATGCATCTAGTCTATAGGAGTTAGTGTAAGTCAAAACAAAAATAATATTTGACTTGTAAAGAGTATACTGTTTTAGTTATTTTAGACTTAAAATCAATATTTATTTATTTTTATAAACCGAAGAAAATTTTTTTTGCTCAGATTCAAAATTTCTAACCTGTGTTTTGTATCCTATTACAATTCTATTACTGCCCATTGTGACAATAAAATTCAATTTAAATTGATTTATGAAATGATTACAAGATGCTACAGTACATTAAAAAATAATTAAAAATTTACAAATTATATGTCTTTCATCATTCAATAAGTATTTCTTTCTAATTTAAAACATTTGTTAATGAATAAAACAAGCCAATTAGACACTTTTTTTTTAATGTAATAATACTATAAAAAATATTAGAAGCTTCTTGTTGTTCTGTTATTTATAAATATTCACTTATTTTACAGAAAGCTCATTAAAAATAAAATAATTACCATATGTCTTCAAATATCTCTCTCATTTCTGACTCAATAACTGCTGCAAGAATGTGTTTCGTAACATCTTGAACTTCATCTACAATACCTTCTATTTCCTGTAATTAAAGGTTTATAAATCATGCAAATTTCAAATAGTAAAATATATGTATGTACATATGTATGTAAACACTATTATTTACCTTTTTCTTTTTCTGTTCAATTTGTTTTTCAGCTGATAAATCTGGTAGAATTTTATCTGGGGAAAAAATTATTTAATTTATAATTTTAAAATATTATTTTAAAACAAACTACAAAGACTTTTTCTATAATAAGTCATCTGAACAGTATTTATTTATATATGTTTTCTGTGGATTGTTTCTGAGAATATCTAAACTATGTAAACATTAGACCTATTTCTTATATATATATTTTAAAATCAAGAATATAGATATTGCGATAAAGAATAGATAGTACAATGAAAATCACCTTAATTTATATTCTACAATAACAGACTACTATTAATTTGATTTATGATTTTTTTTGTAAATTTAAAATTAAGATCACAAAATAACATTTAAACATTCCAACAACAATCTTCCATTAACAATAAAATTATTGTTAATAAGAAAATGAGAAACTACTATTTCAAAAATTAGCATTTATTTTTGTCTTTTCTTAATTACAACAATAGGCTTATATCATACTATTGTAAAATATTTTAAGAAATTAAAATGAAACTTACTTGGAGTCATTTTAGAATTTGTACTTTGACCTACACTAAATTTTAAATCCTTTGAAAGATCGGTACTTGACTTTGCTTTAATACCATTGATAATACTTTTACTACTTAAATTCTTATCTTCTGTCAAGAGAATTACATGGTCTTTTCCATCTAAAATAGTAATGATATACTCATTTTTATACAGTAATTAATCTTTTACTTATTTATTCATTCATTTGTTTAATAAATGTAAGTTATATCAAAATGTTAATATATGAAAAATCATATGAATATTTCATTTTAAAAAATTTTAATTTTGTCATAAACAGTGTAATTTTGAAATATTAATAGCTTTAATCACATTATTGACTTTTAACTAAGAATACCTCTGAAACAAGTTGCCTGAACTCAATTAAACAGAAAAACAAATACTAAATTATATAAAAATATATATGCAGTACAAATATTGTCAATCTGAGAAGAGGGCCTTCTGTAACACAGAATCAAGTGTCATGATTAGAGAGGGGAGAATAAATGGAATAATGTCCCCATCTACCCCACCACTCCAATTTTAAGACATTTTAGAATAAAATTGTAAGAATGTGAATTTGATGAAGGATCGTATCAAGGTAAAACAAAGAAAAAAGACAAAGATGGATGTAAAAACACAACACATGTTTATTGTATAGGAAGAACAAAGAATGACTACCCTTAACAGGGTTCACATAAACTGGGTCATTGCACGGGCAGTAGAGTAGATGGTATGATGATTCCCAGGTTAAAGTTACATTAACAACTTCCTAATGAAAGATAGTTTATGAATAAGTTCTAGTGCTCTCAAATTATCATCTGAAGCAAATTATAAAATTAATGCTACTAGGAGACTTGTTAAAATATTATGTGATGATTACTGATTTCCTGGGCTGCCATTTCAATTTTATTATTATTATTTATATTGTTACTAATTTATGTAACTTAATATTGTAGGATGTATTACACATTTGAGATCATTAATAATTTATTTAATAACTAACATGTAATATCTTTGACCATTATACTAATACTAATTCATGCACACAGTAATTTTGATAGGACTTTACCAGTGCACCTAATTTTGATATCAGAAGAGCACACATCATTTTTAGATGTAAAAAAAAAAAAGAAAAAAGGCCCAAATGTACAGGTTTTAACCTATTAACGACAGAAAACAATAAAAAGCATATAAACCAATACAAATAAACAAAACAAGATATATAAAAATAAATAATCAAATCTGACCATACATATTAGTGACTTTTAGAAAGTCCAGTAGCTTATCAAGATTTGGCCTCTGGCCCAAAACCTCTGTCAGACTTCCATTTCCAAAATACTGTCTGCAATTCCTCTCAAAGGCAGGACAATTGCACAGTATGCATTTTATACTTAAACAGTTGCAATACTGCCATACCACCCTTCAATAAGTATTGATGAGTCAAACTGGTATGTCCAATCCTCAGGCAAGTAAGGATAACCTCAGATCTTCTTTTATACACTTTGTGAACCGCAGAGGAGGTTGGAGGTCTCCCTTTCCGGCTACAGGCCGTTTAACCTGCTCACTTGTCAAGATGGCTAAATTTCGAATGCGGTCCCGAAGGGTCGGGATTCTTTTTGTCAGATCGAGTGGAGGAGGTGAGAGGCGTAGGCGATATGCAAGTAAATGACACCAGTTAACAATGGAAACAACGATTTATTAGATTAATGAAAAATAACAAGTACAAAATCTAACTAAATTAAACTTCACTCTGACACCAAGGATGAAATACTAAATTCGGAATCTGTTACCGGTGTAATTTGCGTGAAAAAATCTTCCTTTCACAAACGTTTTTGAGCTGTTGAGATAGCTCTTCTTCAGGTAGAGAAAAAATTCTGACAGAATACTTTGAAAAATGGAACGTAGATATTTAAATAAAAAACCGAATCTAAAAATAGAATGCAGATGTTTTTCTGCATTCTATTTTTGGCACTAACTTCAACACTTACATATGTATTTCAATATATTATATTTAGAATTAATAAATAATCTAACTTACATTTTTGAGAAAGCTGCATACAACATTGTAGAATTTTGTCGTCATTGCATTCAGCATTTAAATTATTTTCACAAAATGAAGCCTGTGTAAATAAAAATATAAACAAAAACATTATATATGCAAATGAAGAATTTGTCTTGTACTCATTGTATTGCAAATTACATGTAGTACACAATATTTTATATTACAGTAGAGCATCGATTATCTGATCCCCGATCAACCGTCACATCGGTTAACCGACCACGTTCTAATCAGCAAATTCAAATGTCTGCTAGTGATGTGACGCTACAATATTTGGCTATGTCTTGGCTACTTTAATATTATTTTTGTGTGTTTTAGCTGGCAACACTGGCTCGACCATGAAAGGGAGCCAGTATTTAAATGAGGCTTAATTTTCTAATTTTTAACAATACAATAGCAATGATTATTATTTTTAAAAAATTTTTGTTAGGCTTAACATCGATGAAATTCAACGTGAAGTGGGTTAATAGTGGTATACTAATATACTAATTACATGGGATATACTAATATACTATATTAATAATGTATTTTCTCATATTTTTCGGTTATCCGACCAACCTCAGCCCCCAATTGAGTCGGATAATCGATGCTCTACTGTATTAAACAAAATTATTACACAACATTCATATCCATCACAACTATCAAACTTTATTGTCAACAGTTGTTGAAAAAAGCTAGACATTCCTGGCATTCTTTGTTTTTGTCCCTAATAATTGATACCATTAACTTCATGTCTTCAGATTGGTTTGAGAGATATTAAGGGGGGTACGGCCATATCTCCTGAACCAATGGTTCAACTTTTCTGAAAATTTCTAGAAACATTTACCTCTAACACAAACTTTCCTGCAAAATTTCAGAAATTTCTGACAAATAGTATAGAAGTTATTTAGCTTCAAATGAATGAAAAAAAATTGTGCTCCATCATGCACTACATTCCATACATATAGAAAAATTCCCAACTTTTTTTTTCTTTTTTTTGCATTTCTTGATATTGCAAGGTACAGAGTCCATAAATGTAAAAATCTTGGGGGTCATTTTTTAATTGATCACCATATATATGTAATATTTTTACTTTGGCAACTGTTACATAACAGAGGGGAAGTAAAAATATTACATAGTTTTTGCTGAAGCAGTTTATATCATTTTTTGTCTATAAATATAAAACTCAGAATAAAAAACAATGTTGGATGCATTCCACATTACAATTAACAAAAAATTACAGTGAAATTGCTGTTATGTAACTGCAAATGATTTCTATGTAGATTTCAAATCCAAAGATCAAATAAATGGGACATCAAAACAAATGAATTACATTTCATCCTCAAACTGAATGCAATGGTCTTCTTTTTGTGCTTTTAAGTATTATACTCAACAAAAAATTGCAGTGACCCATTATTTTAATTCCAATGTAGTATGTTTGACTGATTATGTTATTTAAGAATTTATAAGTATATTAACAAAATTATGGAATTATGTTTTATTAATCTTATTTTCCTGTCAGTTTAAAAAAATGACAGGTGACTATGACTTCACATACCATGAATGTAGTACACTCAATATTTACATTCAAATATAAACAAAAACTAATGATCTTTTCTTGACCCAATAAAAAGTAATATTAATTTCCAAAATTCTTAAAAAGTTTTCATGTATTTATTATGAAAAACCATAAAATTTTTTTGATATGATGCAATAAGATATTTGAATTAAATTAATAGACAGTATCGAAAGTTTTCTAGATTATCAGAAAACTGCTGTACAGTGAAAAATTATAATCAATACAGAGTATATATCATCACCAAATAAAAGAATAATGTAATAATTATATTAAAATATAAAATATTCTAATGTAAATACTCTAGTGTAATAAATTGTTTTAGAGGATTTTAAATTAAATACTATATAATGTATACAGTATTTAAGTGAAAGTATTAATGAATTGCAAGATATTTTTAAATAAAAAAAATTATANTATACCTCTGTTGCAGTTTGGCCTCGTATTCTAGGATGACCAGATTTTAGTTTCTTGAAAACAAAATGAACAGCTTCCGTAGCTTTGTGAAAAATATTCTATGCAAAATAAAAATACGTTTTAAAAATTTCTAATTTATTATAGATTTCAAGTTAACTTTTATAAAAGTAAACAAGTAAAATGGCAAAGCCGTATTGGGACAAGACTATGTCTTGGAGACTCAATAGTAAGCAGGATCACTTTGACACTTAAGGCGGGTCTCATTCTCATTCTCCAATCTTTGGTATCACTGTGTTTGAATGCGATCTTTCAAACTTCGCCGGCCTCGGCAACGGCCATGACCACGAGGTCATCCATGATGCATTTTCAGTGAAATTAACCTATCCAATTTCGAAATTTCTCTCTGTTGCATGTCGCTCTGGGTTGAATTTTTGTTGACGCCTAACAAAAATTTCCCATTTGGGGGGGATTGTGGCTATCGTATCATTTGAAATTTATTTTTTTTATTTTGCACAAGCAATATATATATATACACATATACACATACAGTAGAGTGTCAATTATCCGAATGTCAATAAACCGAAAGTGTTCCAGTCGGACTGTGTTGTGCTGAATCGAATGTTTTCGATACTAGATTAACTTCTAAAGTATAATTTTTTTGTTTTTATATTTTTCAATATATTTATTATGCTTGTACGAAATAAAGAAATAATTTTTAACAATACAATAGCCACAATTATTATTATAAAAATTTTCATTAGGCTTAACATTGACGAAAATTCAATGCAAAATGACATGCAATGGAGAAAAATTTAAACATGGGATATATTAATATGCTATTATTGGGATATACTAATATACTATATTAATAATGTATTTTTTCATACCTAATTGGTTATATGAGAAATCGATTTTCTGAACAACCCCAGTCCCCAATTGATTCGGATAATCGACGTTCTACTGTATATTATATATATATATATATTAATAAATGTAAAATGAAAACAAATTATATTTTGGAAGTTAGTTTTAATATAAAATTATTTGACTAGTGCCATCTGCTTTAAAAAACATTCTGATGCTGAAACAAGATATCTCAGGTCAATCGGTCAAGGTCAGCTTGTAGCAACAAGAGATATGTGGGGAATAACATGGGACAGGTAAATGGTTTTTTTCAAAGATTCTTTTCTCATTTTGAACTTCCCAACACATGCATTTGTCAAAATTCGATTTCGCAACATTTGCATTTCCAACTTCCCAACCAGCAATGCATGCACAAATCTTGCACTACTGTCTGTTTGTAGAGAGTGTCACCATTTTGAATTTTATTTAGATTTGGTTCTTGGCCCCAAGTACCTACAAGTCTTATTTTATTTTTTTAATGTGCACATGATTTGGGCATCTAATATTGTGTGCCAGATTGCAATTTCTGTCACGTACTCCTTCATACCTCTAAGCTGGTAACAGAGCAGGCAATACAATTTTATAAACAAGACATAGACTTGTCAAAAAATATAAATTCTTATATAATTTAGATAAAAATTCATAAAATACAATCAATTTACCTTTGCATTTCTGTTATTTTTTAAAGAATCAAGCTCTTGAATAACAACCCAAGGTATAATAACTAATGGCACACCATATTCTGCAATTTAAAAATAAATATTGCTTATACCTATTTAAATTTTTAAATATGACATAAAAGCAGTTTTACACTTAAAATATAAATCATGCTCCAAAACTAACATTAGAAAATATCATTTTTCCAAGCTTAAGCAAACTAATTACTATTAGATTTAAATATAATACATTATAAACAAAGAAATAAATAAAAATGTACTGTAGTTAATAGCATGCCAGAGAATAACAGCACATTGTAATTTGAAAAAGGCTGATAAAAAAAGTTGACTTACTACAGGTTTTCGGAAAAAAATTATTTTTTTAAAATGTAAAATTTTCAAATGTTTTCTCTAATTTTATATTACATTTTTAAAATAAGTCAATTGAAAACAAAGCAGCTTTCAAAGAATTCTTGCCTATTCATCATTTTGTTGGAAAGAATTGTATATTACAGGAAATAAGATGTATTAGAGCTAACCTATATATTAATTCTATACTGACTTGAACAATATTAAATTTAGGAGTAGATGAATGGAAACTAATTAGCCATACAATAAATTAAACATTGTACTAACATCTAAAATTTTTACATACTATTTTTCAATTTGTACTAAAAACATTTGTTTTAGTATATCTTTGGAATTTTTTACACAAAGATTTAGAAACATAACAGTATTTAATATCAGATAAGAGTATATAATAATACTCTTATCCACTGTCTTAGATTTCATCTTGAAGAATATGTTTATAAACTAAATTTTAATATATACTTCTTAATTAATTAACTAATTAATTAATTAAATAAAGTTTATATAGGAAAAATATAGAAAAAACTGTGTGCGCGCGCATTTGTGTAATAACTTAGTTTTCTTACTTTTAAATCTTACATACCTGTTATCTGCAATTCTATTAAACATTTTACATATTTTAAATGAGAAAGGAAGATATTTGTATCTACAACAATAAATAGATCCTGAAAAATAAATTAATATTCTATTAAATAATTATTATTTATTGAACAATTTAATAAATTAAGTCTCAAATTTTTCATATAATATATATTTAGTATTTAACATAAATAAAGCACAAGCACTATGATGTGCATATATATAGTAACCATGCTTAACACTGATTCGATATAACACGGTCTGCTCAAAGCCTAAAAAACACTCAAAATTTACAGCTGATTCAAATTATCACGGCATTTCATTAATTCATATATAATACGATTATTCCCAAACACAAACCAATCAGCAAAAGGTGGCAATTTGTCGTAGCGCTGCACTTTCCTTAAATTTATGTTTGTTTGGTGCAATTTTGCATGGATGCCATAGACAATATTGACTTTGCTTGGCAAGAATTAACTGATAAATGCATGAACGAAGTGTGGAAGAAATTATGAATGAAGGTATCCAAGAATTCTCAACGAGAAGAGTCTATTGTTGTATTGTTAGGTTGACCTAATTTGGTCAACCTAATCGATACAGCAGGACTAGGAGATGTAGATGAGCAGTATTTTGATGAGTTATTGCAAGTTTCTGGTGAAAGTCTTACCAACGATGACCTTTAAGAATGGCAGAACAAGGAATTCATGTAGAACTGGAAAATAGATTCTGAAAACAAAGAACCCAAAGAATTTCTCTACAGATTTTCTTATTGAAAGTTTGGTAACCATAACCAAAATCATTGATCAAATTGTAGCAAATAATCCAGATTTTGAAAGGAGTGTAAAAGCAAAACAAGGTGTTTTGGATGTGCTCTTCTGCTACTGCCATTTGCTTGAGGAAAAAAAAGCAACAAATAAAACTACACAACTTTATTGCAAAAAACAAGAATTTCAGAAAAGCCAGGACCTTCATCACAAAAATGAACTTTACATTTCTATGTGCATACGTTTATGTCTTATTTAACATATACTATTATGCAAATAATAGTATATGTTAAATGTACTATTATTTGCATATTGTTTATTTTGGTCGCATGTTCCCCTTTCCCTATTTACATGATTTTAAAATGACCCCATTTAATGCTGTTTCATTCAGCTCTTTGTTATGTAGGAACATTAAGCAGGGGTGTGTGTGTGTGTGTGTGCTTATATATATATATATATATGGAGAGGAAAGAATAAGTGGCTGTTATCTACGAATATAGCCATGGAAGGAAGTGGGAAGGGGGGAGAGAGGGGGAGAGGGAAGGAAAGAAGGAAGAGAAGAGAGTTCATACATGTATCCCCATGTTCGTTTGTTAGACATAATAAAACACAAAATACACTGACCATGAGACCAGTGGAACATTAATGAATACACAATTAAGAGTGTGTGTGCACAAATACTACAATAATACAAAATTTCTAATTTAAAATACAAACTACCACTAGTACGGCTGCCTGTCCTCTTACAAATGCTGTACATTGTGCAGAAAACAAGAACGTGTAGAATACAAACCAACCACATAGGATTACAGTACACAGTAATTTGCAAAACTGGAGTGTACCACATTCCATCACTCAGTAATGGGTGAATTCCACTATGATGTGTATTTTACAACTACAGTACTAATATTACTTAACAACTTTGACTGATTCACGTATTTTTAATGTTTTATATTCAATTGAATTTAGGATTCTTTGTATGAATCTATTATTATTTTAACAATGATCTTCATCTGAAAATTTATTTTGCAATGTTTATCATTATAAAACATTGAAAATACTACAGGATTAGTGTAACATTGAAGTAATTGAAAAATTATCTAACTTCTGATTGTAATAGCACTATATGACATGCCACACTATAATAGATCAGCCCTCAACATTATAAAAACATCTATAAGTATATTATTTTTCAAAATTGTAAGTATAACTATGTAACTTATACAGTAGAGCATTGTTTATCCGAATCAATTAGGGACTGGGGTTGTTCGGATAACTTATTTTTCGAATAACCAATTATGTATGAAAAAATATATTAACCTATCCCGTGTTGAAAATTTTCTCCGTTGTGTGTCGCTTCGCGTTGAATTTTCATCGATATTAAGCCTAATGTAAGCTTTTTAAATTAATAATCGTGACTAAAATAAATATTGTTAAAAATTATTTCTTTATTTTTTACAAACAAAATAAATATATTGAAAAATATAAAAACAAAATAAAATTATACTTTAGAAGTTAATCTAGTATCAAAAACGTTCAATTCAACAGACACACAGTCCTCAGAATAACACCACACAAAAGTGCCAGTGCTGTCAGCTAAAACACACACATCAACAAAAAACAAATATTGGAGTAGCCCAAGATATAGCCAAAGATTGCAGCGCCACAGCACTAGCAAAAATTTAAATTTGCCGACTGGAATTCTTTCAGATAACTGACTTTTGGATAAACAACGCTCTACTGTATTTACAAAAAATTTCAGATATTTCAGATTTTCTATGAATTAGAAAATGAATGACAACTCTCACTCGCGTTCATTTGCAAATTTATTATCTTCCATTCATGATCTCATCTTCACCCTGTTTTCTCCCCATCAGACAAATGTGTGTACCATGCTGTGTAACTGCAACTCATCATTCATCTTTTAATTTGTTTTTAATTTTATTTCTAAATTCTCGTAATTTTTCTTGTAAAATTATTTTCTTCCTTTTTAATAACACTAATACTGTTTTTTAATATTTTATTTTAAGACAAATCTAGCTTCTTTCTTGTCAAGTCATAGTAATAATAATTATCGTTCCATATTACCAAGATGCACGAAGTTTCTATCTAGTTATGTATGTCCAATGTAATGTATTTATTTTTTTTATACTCAAAACTGTGTGTGCGCGCATTTGTGTAATAACTTAGTTTTCTTACTTTTAAATCTTACATACCTGTTATCTGCAATTCTATTAAACATTTTACATATTTTAAATGAGAAAGGAAGATATTTGTATCTACAACAATAAATAGATCCTGAAAAATAAATTAATATTCTATTAAATAATTATTATTTATTAAACAATTTAATAAATTAAGTCTCAAATTTTTCATATAATATATATTTAGTATTTAACATAAATAAAGCACAAGCACTATGATGTGCATATATATAGTAACCATGCTTAACACTGATTCGATATAACACGGTCTGCTCAAAGCCTAAAAAACACTCAAAATTTACAGCTGATTCAAATTATCACGGCATTTCATTAATTCATATATAATACGATTATTCCCAAACACAAACCAATCAGCAAAAGGTGGCAATTTGTCGTAGCGCTGCACTTTCCTTAAATTTATGTTTGTTTGGTGCAATTTTGCATGGATGCCATAGACAATATTGACTTCGCTTGGCAAGAATTAACTGATAAATGCATGAACGAAGTGTGGAAGAAATTATGAATGAAGGTATCCAAGAATTCTCAACGAGAAGAGTCTATTGTTGTATTGTTAGGTTGACCTAATTTGGTCAACCTAATTGATACAGCAGGACTAGGAGATGTAGATGAGCAGTATTTTGATGAGTTATTGCAAGTTTCTGGTGAAAGTCTTACCAACGATGACCTTTAAGAATGGCAGAACAAGGAATTCATGTAGAACTGGAAAATAGATTCTGAAAACAAAGAACCCAAAGAATTTCTCTACAGATTTTCTTATTGAAAGTTTGGTAACCATAACCAAAATCATTGATCAAATTGTAGCAAATAATCCAGATTTTGAAAGGAGTGTAAAAGCAAAACAAGGTGTTTTGGATGTGCTCTTCTGCTACTGCCATTTGCTTGAGGAAAAAAAAGCAACAAATAAAACTACACAACTTTATTGCAAAAAACAAGAATTTCAGAAAAGCCAGGACCTTCATCACAAAAATGAACTTTACATTTCTATGTGCATACGTTTATGTCTTATTTAACATATACTATTATGCAAATAATAGTATATGTTAAATGTACTATTATTTGCATATTGTTTATTTTGGTCGCATGTTCCCCTTTCCCTATTTACATGATTTTAAAATGACCCCATTTAATGCTGTTTCATTCAGCTCTTTGTTATGTAGGAACATTAAGCAGGGGTGTGTGTGTGTGTGCTTATATAAATATATATATATGGAGAGGAAAGAATAAGTGGCTGTTATCTACGAATATAGCCATGGAAGGAAGTGGGAAGGGGGGAGAGAGGGG